GATCATTTATGGAGAGGCATTATCTTTTGATTTCATCATGACAACAATTTCAGAAATAAAGATATGCTCCTGAAAAACATCAATATCATCTAACAACTTAGGAATCAAAACTTTCCTTGAGTTTTAAGATAAAACTATGAAAACTATAACTATTAAATTCAAGTTGAGTTTTAAAGCATACAAGAAAAGTGATTTAAAAAGCTGGGCATCTGCAAGGGTAAAATTAGCATCTAATACAAACCAAAATATTATTCCAGTAAATGGGCCATAACAGACAAATCACTGGAAAGAAGAATTAGGAGGAAGATTACCTCTTGTTCAGGAATTATATAGTGGAGTTGTACACATGGCACAGTTTCTTTGCCTCTACTGCCAGTCTCTTAGGAGAAAGGAAAGCCAGCTAGATAAGACAGCAGATGGGGGAAAAACAGAGCACCAGCTACCAAAGCAACATGTCTCACGACAGCGGGGAGCTGCTTATGGAATTTTCTGCCAAGCTGCTGTTAAATGCTGAAGAACCAAAATGTGCCTCTAACAAATAAAATAAAATAGTTAAAGATAATCTATGTTCGTGGTGAGTATATGTAAAGATAGCTAGAACTTCTGGTCAACATGTCTGAGTTGACATGGAAATCTCCTATTCTACCCCAAACACTTAGAAATGCTGGAAAACTGACACACAGCTACACACACACACAAACACACACACACACACACACACACACACACACACACACACACACACACTGCCCCAGTGCCACAAAAAAAGATGGGACCTAAAGTCAGAACAGTCAGAAAATGCTGAAGCTAAAGACCTGAGGAAAACTGCAACCCAGTATAGGTCTGCGTAGCTGGTGGCCAGGACTTTAACACTTGTCATGAGACCTGTGTTCATAGGAGCTGGAATCAAGCTACTTAAAAAGAGCATGAAGTCACATAAGACTTGTCCAGACACAAAATAAGGATGAGATACACCGCGGTCATTCTCTGCAAAAGTTCCAGGGAGACCAGAGGAGAAAAGGGGTCAAGTGCAGAACCCCAGGCCAGCGCTGTGCACCAGCTCTAAAGTAGATGTATTTTAGGCTCACGGAGTAGGGTCCCAAGTCTAGAAACTGATACAAAATTGTTCCCAGGCCAAAGGGTAAAATGCATATGCCCCTCAACAGAGACATACATGAGAGCCACCTATAGAGATGCTCTCGCTACCAGGTCACAGTTCATGAAGAGAAGCATAATTCATAAGAAAAAGTTTAATAATGTTGATTACTTGATCATTTAAAATTTCCGTGACACTATATATAATACAGGCAAAATTGAAAGGCAAATGACCAATGGGTGAAAATATATGCAACCCATATAACTATAAAAAGAAATAGTATGTAGAATTTATAAAGAGCTTTTACATATTAATACAAAATGGATTTTAAAAGTATGAATAAGTGATTTACAGAGAAAGCAAACGGTCCAGTAAACGTGAAAAGATTTTCAACCTCACGAATCATCATGGAAATGCAAATTAAAATATTAATGAGACACTTTTTAAATTTATCAGATTGGTAAAAATAAAAAAGTAAAGTTTTATTTATAACCGTCCCCACCCAAATCTTATAAAGTTGAAAGCATGTGAATCTACAACATAGTTATTCCCCTTCTAGGTGCACCTAGTGAAAGCCTGAACACATGCATCAGTACACACTGGCTGCTGCAGCACAGTCTATAAGAACTGAACTTTGGAAACTTAAATGTCAACCACCAAAGAGAATGGATAAACACTAGCTCATTTCTACTGTGGAACACCAGGTAGCAATTAAAAGGAGTGAACTAGGTCTATGTGTATTAACACAGGTATATATGTTTTATTTTACTTTAAGTTCTGGGATACATGTGCAGAATGTGCAGGTTTGTTGCATAGGTATACATGAGCTGTGGTGGTTTGCCCCATCTAGGTTTTTGTTTGTTTGTTTGTTTGTTTGTTTGTTTTTGAGATGGAGTTTCGCTCTTGTTACCCAGGCTGGAGTGCAATGGCACGATCTCGGCTCACCGCAACCTCCGCCTCCTGGGTTCAGGCAATTTTCCTGCCTCAGCCTCCTGAGTAGCTGGGACTACAGGCACGCGCCACCATGCCCAGCTAATTTTTTGTAGTTTTAGTAGAGACGGGGTTTCACCATGTTGACCAGGCTGGTCTTGATCTCTTGACCTCGTGATCCACCAGCCTCGGCCTCCCAAAGTGCTGGGATTATAGGCTTGAGCCACCATGACCGGCCCCCATCTAGGTTTTAAGCCCCACATACATTAGGTATTTGTCCTAATACTCTCCCTCCCCTTGTCCCCTACCCCCCAAAACACAGACATATTTTTAAAACACTGAAGAATGACATGGCATGATAGGTTCATGAAAAAATTAAAGTCACAAATTATATGTCAAAATATCTTCAAATCTATATATGCCTAGAAAGACAGAAGTAAAATTCATGGTCATGATTTTATCTCTGGGGAGGAAAGAAGGGAAATGGTATACTAAGGAAGGTCTCAAAAGAGGATTTCAACTTTATCTGTAATATTCTCTCCTTTATTTAAAATTTAAAAATCTGAAACAAAATGAAAAATGTTAACATTTTAATGCTAGGCAATGTGTGCTAATATGTATATTATAACAATCCCTCTTTAAGAAATATTTTCTAAATGAAAAAGTATTTTAAAAATAAAATAAATCATATGTCTTGGTCCTGTACAATTGCTAGGGTTTGACCACAAATTTGGTTTAGTTTCCCACAACAATGTAATGACCTCTATACTCTATATAAATAGGACAACAAATTTGATAGGGCACTTCTTATCATATCTTTTATTATAAAGTACAGGACAGTGATGTAACATCCTGCATGAAGCTTAGCAAAATGCAACCAGGGACCAAAAAATAAATTCTCAGCATGGAGGCTTTCATATTTTTCAACGTGTACCACTTTAATGCTCATAGGTATAGATCCCATCTTGCATTCTAAGATGAGGAGATGATATTTAATTTACACACATAACTAATGATACTGAAATTCTCCTCAGCCTTCATATTTTCAGGCATATGTTTCCTTGTTTTAAGCTGCATTTAGGTTAGTTCTTTTGGCATCTCAGACATTAAAATTGCTTAATTCTTTCTTCTATTACTCTGTTCGGTTTTTGTTTTAGTGTTTATGAGGCAATTGTCAGCCCCATCTGCAAGCTCAGGAAGCTCTTTCTCTCTGTCTCTCCCTCTCATCTTTTAAATGCCTTTCTCTCACTTCCAGAAATCTTACAGACTAGTAATGTCCTTCCATCCTCTCTTGTGTAACCATGCCAATTCCTCAACCCAAACTTAATGTGCACAATTAATTGTACCAATTCCCATACTCAATACTTGAGTTATTTAATTTGTCTATCTTTACCTGTCTTTGTAAACCCCCAGTAAATGAAGCTCTTTCCAAATTTCTTCACATGACATTTAAGTTGACGCCACATGGAAACAGATGCCTACAAATATAATACTTTGTGTGGTCACACTAATTCACAGTGAGGAAATGCTTTTAGGGCCCAAGTAGAGGGATATGCTTTTCACACACTGCACTTGCGTAACAGTAAATAATTGGTAAGTTTCCCCCCTCCAGAGATATATAGTTCACTTACATTATTTGAAACATGATCAATATTTATGAGCTTCAGAGGTATACACAATTATTCCTTTAATCATCAACTCTCTTGATAGGGATTTGATAAAACCACCCTATTTACTTCCTTAGAAGCAGAAATCAAACTCATTTTTGAATTAAAATAAGCACTGTGTAGTAGCTGATTTTGTCAAATGATCATATAACTTCTATGTATGTTGTTTTCCACACATGCTGCCCCTATACCAATTTGCTGATTTAAAGTCACGATATAAATCAATAACAATGACAACTGAAGTATAATAAAATACTGGCTTATAGCTTTAAAATATATTGTTCTTTCACCCCTACATATTCAACTGGAAGGAACAACTTCTAGGCATGAGCTTCTTTGACTTAGTTGGTCACATAGTGCAAAACATCAACCATGTTCGCAAAAATGAAAAGTTTGTCCACCAATTACCATGAATTAATCAATCATTCTTAGCACTGGAAGCAGCTTTTCCAAAGAAAAGACTTTTTAGACCATATAGTCAAAACAGGTGTTTAGATTAATGATATTTCCTTTTATTCTGCTTATCACAAATTTATTGACTTTTTGTGAATTATTTCTACAGAGGTTAGCAACTCCATTTAAAAAGTTAATATATCTGATTAAATGTCTAACAAAAATATTTTTATTGTAAATTTCATAATTTTTGTTATGGGAAAAACATAAATGCCTAAATAAGTATCTCACATATAAATATATATGTTTAAAACAAAAACAAACCTTAAGTGTATTCTATCTTCTATAGATGATCAACAATCACTTCTTTTGGTGAATAGTTTTAAGATTGTGCAACAAAGGTTTACTCAAAAGAGGAACGATGAATTTATGTTAGTAAATGAAAAACAAAACCATCTAGCAAATAGCCAATACGTAAACCCTTTAAAGGGCATTTTGACTTTCCATGAATTACACTGTCTCTAGTATAATATATTCTACCAACAAGGATGTTTTTGGCAATTATTTCCAAGTTGCCATCAACACTATCCCAGCGCAGCATCATTATCTGTTTTGCCATGTCCCTACTTATTACAGGATTTAACAACCACCACAAACCTTGTCTTTTTTTTTTAAACCTATAGCACCTCTTCTAATCACAGGTACCTGTGCTCACACAGATCAACAAAGTGGGTCTCCTCCATGTCAACAAATCATTTTTTAAACTTTTCACTAGAAGCAACATTCCACTAGATCTTTATGAATGTTCTCAGAACTGCTTATGAGAATCTTATGCCAAACACCAAGATCAATTAAAGCTCAATCAGGCCAGTAAGCATTCATTCACACATTCATACTGACAATAGATTTCATACTTGTTTTTGCTTCTCTGCTCTTTGCAACATTTCCTTCTTCTTCCACAGTTTCTCTTTCTCTTCTTCCTTTTCTCTTCTTCTGGCAGAAATTTCCATTTCCAGTCTTGCTACCTCTTCCTGGTGGGCCCGCCATTGAAGAACCTGAAATAAACAGAAAAACTTCATTCCAATAACTATGCACACTGAAATTATTTCACAGGTCATGATAAGACTAGGCTCTATATCAAGCAGATGTCAATTTTTTTTTTCAAATAGATATTTAAATTCTATGTGCACATGACTATGTGATATATCTGTGAAAGATGTATGTGTGTGTGTTAGTGTTAAAAGGAAAAAGCAACTTTAAAATCACCATGTTCAGGAATTCTTCATCTGGATTCATGGAGTGAGGTTCCTAAAGAGTCTATGATTTAACTCCAAAGAATCTGTATATTCCCACAAATAGTACATAATAATTTTTGTGCTTTTGCATATTTTTTTCCCGGAGGTTAAACAACTTTCAAAAATTCTCAAATAATCCTGAAATGCTGAAAGGTTTAAGAATCTCTGCTATATTTCAGTCTTCTTATTTTATAAGAATGGAAAATGGGCTTGAATTAAGATGAAAAATCATTGTAAGACACTTAAAACAACTTTCTGGGTACAGGCATGTGTTATTGGTAGAGGTATATTTGGTACAGCCTTTCTGTTGGGTATTAGGTAATATGTAAATATGTGTCACAATATAAAATATGCATAGCTTTGGTACACAACCCTATTTCCAGAACATTATTTAAAGAAGACAATTAACTGGACACGTGCACAAAAATGTACCCACAGGAATGTGTACTAGAGTTCTGTTTAAAACAGAAAAATTGAAAAAGTCTAAAGTCTGGCAGTAGGAGATGGCTTAACTCAATTGTGGTGCCTTTATACAATGACTGCCATTGAAAGAGGATGCCATAACTCCATATTCATTGACATAGAAAATATTCACAACATATTATTAAATGCAGAAAAACAGATACAAAACCACATTTATGGTATGATCTCATTAATGTAAAATATCAACTATGCGTCTATGTATAGAAGGAGATTTGGATGGGGACTTACCAAAATAATAATATTGGTTATCTCTGAATAGAATCATTTCTTGGGATTAAAAAAAAATAACTCTTTAAACCTTTCTGTGCTGGGTGAAATTTTTTCAATAAAAATGTATTATCACTGTAAGCAGGAAACTAATGAAACTAATGAAATAAAAATAAATACTTATCTGGTCCATGTACACATCTGGCTAAGAAGCAGACAGCAGGGAAATGCCAAGGTATGCAAATTTTTTTTATATTAGCATTCCCAATTAAATACTTCATTTCTTACACATTTGATGTAATCATCATTTATAAATGGTAATATATAAGATGAAAATTAAATAAATAAAATAATGTCACAAATAATTAAAGTGACTAAATAATTAAGCTCATTTTGCAAAATTTTCATTTTCTAAAGTAATATTTTGCCTTGTTTATCAAAATAACCAAGGAAATTTCTACTCCTGGTTTTTAAACACAGTTCAGTTTACTCCCCCTACTGCTTATCCTGGCCATCATATTGACCTTTTTCTTGGGAACCCCATCCCTAGAAAAGATCATCCCTGCCTTCTGTCCTGACCTGCTTTCAAACCTTTCCTTTCTGTAATTTATCTTCCATCTTTCACTTGGTACAACTAAGCAGTGTCGTGTCATCCCATCACGTATTACTAGTGATCTCCCCATGAACACGCAAGGGATAGTCTTCTATTCCTCAACATGATGGTAAGATTTGATGCTGTTGGCCATAGTTTTATGCTTAAAACTCTTTCCTGCCCAGATCATGACATTGCTGTCCCCTGTTTCTCTACCCACAGATACTGTTCTCTTCTTCCTGTTTCCCGTGTCTACCCTATAATCCCAACCCTACCTTATCCTCTCATTAATATCCAACCTTTCTATGTTCATTATTTGATGTGCTCATCCTCTTCTAGGAGTTTGCTTCTATGACTACAAAATTTGCATTATCAGCTCTATCTTTTTGTCTGCAACCCAATCCTATATTAACAAATTCTTTAAGACTTAGCTATTTGTATGTGCATTTAAAATCCAATATTTCCAAAATTAAATTCAACATCTAACTTTGCCACAACTTCACATCAAACCTGGTACACCTGCTTCTCCTTTACAAATATCCTGGTTTGGTCTGTGGAACCACAAGTCACCATGTAGTCTGGGTTTTTTTTATTACCATGTATACATATCAACATGACTGTCTCTTTACATTTTATATCTGACTTGGAAGCTCATATATTTCTTAAGCTCAGATGAACTTTTATTTATGACAAACTAATTACCAAACCATTGAGCTTGGCTGTAGTTCTGTAGTCCATCCAAAGTTTTTCTGCCAAAAGTATTTAGAACAAGATTAAAAAGTTCAAAAGGATGATGTCAACTGATCAATTTAGAATCTAAATAATTTAGTTTTCTCACTGCCAACCAATGCCCCCCTTTGATGTAGCTAACACGTAATCTCTAAGTAGCGTTCTTCCTCTGCCTTCCCTTATTTATATGGCCATTCCTATTCTTAGTTCATGAAGTGACTCAAACTATCCCCTGCTTGGAATGCCCTCAGATTTCCCCTTCTTCATAAAATAGTCATGGCCCACATCTTTCCCTGAAACAGTCTACTGCCCATGCTCATCTCTCTTGTCTTATCTCACTGATCATACCATAACTGCTCTGTGTATGTTGAATATATTGTTGGTTTCCACTTAGAGCACAGTCCATGCATTTGCTTTCCCCTTATACTGCCTAGCAGAGTACTGGGACATCATAGGTGCTCAATAAGTAACTTTTATTTAATCCATCAAAATGAATATTTTAAATGAAACTTGATAAATAAGAAAAAAAAATGTTAGCATTGGAACACACCACCTTGCAACAATTGCTGAAATAATGGATCCTCGTTAATAATCATCAGTGGCTGCTAAAAACTTCATATTAACAATTAATGGGAAACTTTATAATGAAGGGCAACAAACACATTGAATAATCTTAACATCATAGAGGAACAAGCAAACATTTTTCCTACTGATGGCAGCATGCAGCAGTCCCATGAATTATTCTTGCCAAAAAATAAAATTGAATCTGATCAAAGCTCTAGACCTACCCATCAGATTACAGGAAATTCAGCCAACAGAAAAACACATTATGCAATAGTAATGGGAACATAATCTGCAAAATTAAAATTTGTGAACCCTCAAAGAACTTTAACAAATTACAAGAAAAAAATGAAGGAAGAACTATGAATTGAAAGAGATTTAAGAAACATACTAACTAAATGCAATATTTGGTTTATATTTGGGTTCTGATATAAATAAACCAATGTAAAAAGAAATTATGAGATAATTGGAGCTATTTGAATACTGATTGGTTAGTTGACGCTATTAAGGAAATACTGTTAGTTTTTAGGTATGAAAACAGTGTGGTTATGGTCTACAATTTTAGAGATATACACTTTAATTTTAAAACCAGATACTTAACACTAACAGATGATATGATGCTTGTGATTCTTACTATTATTTCAAGGGGCATGGGGAGTAGGTAAGAATACAGATAAAATAAATTTGACTAATGAATGGATAATTGCTGAAGTTAGGTGATAATAGGCTTTTATAGGTTTTTAAAATTTTCCATAATAAAAATTTATTGAAAAACAAAATAAACTATAAAATATAATGCATATGAAAAGAGAGTTATATAATACAACACTGTAGTCTCAAGGTTCTGAGGCAGTAGGAAGGAAGATTTGTGATACATTGAATTAGTGAAAAGAAAAATTCAGCCTTTCTGAGCACTGAGACTATTTTTATAGATTGTAATGGAAATAAGTTAGGGTTTTGTAACTACTCTTCTCATTTGTTGATTTAAAACTAACTTAGGGGAATCATCATTGAATGGCTTTTGCATATATGATGTCCTATGATTTAAACAAGGAAAAGCATAAGTGAAAATCTATAAATGGAAAAGATTTCTGTTTCCCAAGGCAAGTATAGCAAGAGAATAACCAGACCAATCAAACTGGTATAACCAGTTTACTCAACAATTTATTTAATTTACCCTTCCCTGTCTTTGGCAAGTCTAAATGATGCTTCTTTTCTCCAAAAAAAAAAAAAGATAAAATTATGTTGATTTTTATAAAGTGATGTACACACCAGAAAATTCTGAAGCAGCTGCAAATTCAACAACCAGAAGCCAATAGTTTGTAGATCTTAAGAAAAAAAAAAAAAAAAAAAAAAAAAAATGCTGTTAAAAAAAAAAAAAAGAAAAAAGAAACAAAAACCCTAGAGCGAAGCTTCAGCCTTCAGAATCTAAATTGCTTCTACTTAATATTGGAATCATGGGGATGGTCAGGGACCTGTAGAATTTTACCTGAAGTCAACAATTCACAGCGTTATTTCTAATTATAATGCTACCAGGAAAAAAAGGGGTAAAGGCAAGAAGGTTGTTGGAAACTAGAGTGGTGAGATCTTGACAATGAGAAACAGGCTCAGCAGCAATCAGTATCTAAGCAATAAGGCAAAACAGCTTTTCAGAATGCACACTGGATAAGATGAAGAATCTGGTAGCAATTGAAATAGTCCTTATCCAATGGATCCGCACAGAGATAGTCAAGGGATGTGGATGGCTCCCATGTGGAGAGAATGACAAACAATTATGGTATTTTCAAGATGACTAAGGATAAGAAAGCTGGCAGGTGGACAAAGAAATCAATATTAGCACAATGGACTAAAGCACAGAAGACTCTGAATGAACAGTGAGCAAAAGGAAGAATAGCACAGAAGAACATTTTAGTAGTTTTATTTTAAAGGCTTTGCTAATTATATAGCTTTAAACAGAATATGTGAACATACAGCCATGTACCAATAATAATCACAAAAGAACATTACCACAGTAGCAGCCAAGAGTGTATGTTATAGGAAAGCATTATTTAGATTACTAACTACAGGGCATTTTTCCACATTTTAATTAATATTTTTCTTAATATGCCTGCCAAGGGTCGTCTCTGAATGAGACCTTAACCTAACAGAGGATAAATGACATTTAAAATATGTTCATCTAGTGCAAATA